CGACACCAGTCACGATTACCTTTCTACCTCACTGCTCAGGTAATCATTTCAACCACTATCCTCAATATTTATACCCTTCGTTCCCAATCATTTTCGCCACTTTCCCTATCGTTGCAGTGTACTCATCATCTATCCTCAGGATCTCCCACAGTTGCTCTCTTTGTTGTCCTTGTCATCGTCGATTTTTAACATGCCTTCAATCTGAAGCTACTTTCATCATATCTAATGATTATGTGCGTGCTACTCACGCACTATCCTCTCGGTCGGAGTTCCGTCGTACTGTGGTACTTGCCTATAACTCCGCTGTTTTTTTATACTGACTCGAATCTGGCCGTGTTTGTTGTTCTGTTCTTGTTTATTTTCATGGCTGTTGATTTTCCTTCATTTCCAGGTGAGTACTTTTTCTTTATTGGTTAGTTTCCACTGCTTTAGGTCTTTCATCTTCTATATATTTCGTATGTTTGGAAATGTGAGCGACACTGTTACGTCGATATTCCGGGGTACTTAGTGGTGTATGTTTCTTTTTCGTCCCTGAAAATTCATTTTCATTCCATGCAAAATTATATTTTTGATTTTTGATTTTTTTATTTGTGATTTTAGCTTTATATTCCGAGTCGTGTGAATTTCTTAACGTATTTTATTCCGTTCTTTCAGTTTTATATTCGTCGATTTGGTGCTTCTTGCTTTTCCAGGTACTCCTGGAATTTATTTCGGAGGTCCGCGTTCGTGCAGTTTCGGATGAACGCAAGTATCGCTTCGCGGGTTATTATCCATGGGTAATCCATGAGTCAGAGTTCTCGTCCGAACACGTCAATCACGGGCGGTACATCCGCCATCTCGTATGTGTTAACTACCATTCGATGAAAAGTTCCGATAATCGTCAAGGTCTTGGTTCTCTCAGAACCCGCTCCTGAAGTGACGCAACGTCATGAGAGAGAGAGGAGAGAGAGAGAGAGAGAGAGAGAGAGAGAGAGAGAGACAGACAGACAGACAGACAGAGAGACAGACAGAGAGAGAGAGGGGTTGAATGGCAAAATTGAAATATGGGTCAAATTTCGGCCACAATCTATTTCGCAGTTGGAATGATTTTTTTAAATTTATGTAGCGTTTGTCCTAGAAAGATCACAACAAAATTTACGAGTACTGCAATTTTCAGGTTTTTTCACGCATTCTTCTGAGCGCGAAAACTCACTGAATTTGGAATATTTTTTAGTTGGCCCAGGCATGGCTGAGTGGCAAAAATGGAAAATGTGCTGAATCAATGCGACAATTATTTCACAGTCTAAATGATGTAAATGTTTTATTATTATTTCTGGAAAGAACACGACCTCATCTATGGATACTCAAAATTTCAGATTTTTGTGCATGTTCGTCTGAGCACAGACAATCGCCAAATTGCCTCTTGCAAAACGCCTGTTTCGTTGTGCCTGACCTCCCTGTTTTAAGAAGACGGGGCTCAACGCCTGGGCCTGAGGGCCCTTTTGCAGATCACATGCCCTCACTTCTTTTTGGGGTCCGCTTCTACCCGAGGACCGATCCAATGCCCCCACTTCTTTTTGGGGTCCACTTCCACTCGAGGACCGGTCCTTCGCTTTTCCAAAAGTCCTGGTTCTACTAGAGCTAGCTGTAGGTAGTCCGCAATTTTGCCAAGGACCGGTCCCCCAAATTTTTTTGCCCCCGAAAAACCCACTTGCGTCTTCGTCGCCCGCCGCCAAAAATGTGACACCTTGATACAGACGCGGAAGCCCACTGTATGATTTCCCGGTGGGGGGAAATCATTTCGTCTTTGATCCCACAATGGTCTCGAGAACCACCTTGGAGATTCAGACTCCGCCCTTCTTCTCCGTGACGATGGTGGTCTTGACTTATGTCTTCTATCTCTCGGAGTTTTCAATCTCCCCCTTCTTGAGCGCTTCCTCCCTTGAGATCCGGAAGATGATGATGAGTGTCTGCGCCGCCTCCTGTCCGACGATGATCACGAACGCGACATCTTCCTTGAAGSTTGGGAACGTCAGGTAGGTAGTCTTCGTACTTGAAATCGATAAAAAAAACCCACAACGTCRTTGATCGTCTTAAGTACACACCAGATAAGTAAAATAGAATCTCCAAAAATCGTTGAGCAACCTCCACGCCATAGTAATCTCCAACAAATCGCCACTATGATATCATGAAAGAAAAGGGTTACGAATGATGAGAGAGAGATAAAGACAGTGAATGTAAAATGGAAGAGACAGTTCTATACAGTGTCAATCATCGCGGGTACCGCCCGCAAGTTCTAAGCACCGTGCATGGAGATAAACACATGCAAATGTAGACAGAACGTTCAAGGTTTTACTTTCACAGCATACATATGCAAATGTAGACAGAATGTGCGAGGTTCTACTTTCACAGCATACACCTAATGTCCATGGCATGCGACACCAGTCACTATTACCCTTGTACCTCACTGCTCAGGTAATCATTTCAGCCACTATCCTCAGTATTTATACCCTTTGTTCTAACTCCTTCTCCGCCACTTTCTCTATCCTTGCAGTGTACTCATCTTCTATCCTCAGGATCTCCCGCAGTCGCTCTCTGTGTTGTCCTTGTCGTCGTCAATTTTCAACATGCCTTCAATTTGGAGCTACTTTCATCATATCTAATGATTTTGTGCATGCTACTCACGTACTCTCCTCTCTGTCGGAGTTCTGTCGCACTGTGGTACTTGCCTATAACTCCGCTGTTTTTTTATACTGACTCGAATCTGGTCTTTGTTTGTTGTTTTGTTCTTGTTTACTTTCATGGCCGTGGATTTTCCTTCATTTCCTGGTGAGTATTTTTTCTTTATTGGTTCGTTTCCACTGCTTTAGGTCTTTCATTTTCTATCTGTTTCGTATGTTTGGAAATGTGAGCGACACTGTTACGTCGTTATATCTGCAGAAATTTCGTGATATTCCGGGGTACTTAGTCGTGTATGTTTCTTTTTCGTCCATGAAAATTTATTTTCATTCCGTGCAAAATTATATTTTTTATTTTTGATTTTTGATTTTTCGATTTGTGATTTTAGCTTTATATTGCGAGTCGTGTGAATTTCTTGACGTATTTTATTCCGGACTTTCAGTTTTATATCCGTCGATTTGGTGCTTCTTGCTTTTCCAAGTACTCCTGGAATTTATTTCGGACATTCGCGTCCCTGCAGTTTCGGATGAACGCAAGTATCGCGGCGCGGGTTATTCTCCATGGGTAATCCATGAGTCAGAGTTCCCGTCCGAACAGGTCAACCACGGGCGGTAGATCCGCCATCTCGTATGTGTTAGCTACCATTCGATGAAAAGTTCCGATAATTGTCAAGGTCTTGGTTCTCTCAGAACCCGCACTCCGGAAGTGACACAACGTCATGAGAGAGAGAGAGAGAGAGAGAGAGAGAGAGAGAGAAAGATGATAAGAGAGAGAGAGAGAGGGAGAGAGAGAGAGAGAGGTTGAACGACAAAATTAAAATATGGATCAAATTGCGGTCGCAATCTATTTCGCAGTTGGAATGATTTTTTTAAATTTATGTAGCATTTGTCCTGAAAAGATCGCAACAAAATTTACGAGTAATCCAATTTTTAGGTTTTTTCACGCATTCTTTTGAGCGAGAAAACTCACTGAATTTGGAGTACTTTTTAGTTGGCCCAGGCATGGGTGAGTGGCAAAAATGGAAAATGTGCTGATTCGGCGCGACAGTTATTTCGCAGTTTAAATGATTTTTTGTAAATGTTTTATTATTATTTCTGGAAAGAAGACGACCTCATCTATGGATTCTCAAAATTTCATATTTTTGTGCATGTTCGTCTGAGCACAGAAAATCCGCCAAAGTTGCCTCTTGCAAAACGCCTGTTTCGTTGTGCCTGACCTCCCTGTTTTGAGAAGACGGGGCTCAACGCCTGGGCCTGAGGACCCTTTTGCAGATCACATGCCCTCACTTCTTTTTGGGGTCCGCTGCTTCTGGAGGACCGGTCCAATGCCCCCATTTCTATTTGGGGTCCATTTCCACCCGAGGACCGGTCCTTCGTTTTTCCAAAAGTCCCGGTTCTACCAAAGGTAGCTGTAGGTAGTCCACAATTTTGCCAAGGACCGGTCCCCCAAATTTTTTTGCCCCCGAAAAACCCACTTGAGTCCTGGTCGCCCGCCGCCAAAAATGCGACACCTTGACACAGACGCCCAAGCCCACTATACCGCAGCCTAAGGGCTGCGAACTGGAGTTAGACTTTTCATAAGGACAAGCTACCCTCGATCTGCTGCCACATAATTGTCTACTGCGTGGGCGCGGGGAACACAACCCTAAGGTAGCCAAATCAATGAGACTAAAAGCTAACACGAGAGAGAGAGAGAGAGAGAGAGAGAGTTTTATACAGTTCCCTCCGTCTCCATGGTGCCCTCAAGCAGTTAATCAGAATATTTTTATGTTTGTTTGTTTTCGGTCCCGTATGCACCAGTTGCATGACACAGAAGATATATCCATTTTCGATCCGTTTTTTGCATTTTTTTAGCTCGAACTTTGTTTTGTCAATTTCCACAATTGTTGATCCGAATGTTCGTTTAATTACTTTCCATTTTTCATTCCATAGTTTTCCAGCTGTGCAGTAAATCATTGCTTTCGGTTGAAGTATTGATGTTAACTTCGTAGTGTAACCCGATCAAACTGATTTAAACAAAACAGGTATATTCTGATTCACCTCATTGTTTTCATTCTTCTTCCTCTTTCTCCTTCTTCGTCTTCAGTTTTACCGTGTTTGTCTGTCTTTTTCCCTTGTATTCAAGAATGGATTCAGTCTCCTAATCACTGCTGCTTCCACCCCTATCACCTCTGATCTCACTCCCGTTCAAATGGGTATGAGAAAATAATTCTCCCAACCAAATTTGTGCAGCCAACTGTATAGTTTCCGCTGTGCTCCTCTATTTTGATTCTTGGCCAAGTTTATGTGTTCAGTCCATCTCTTGTCGGACTGTCTTCCTTTCGTCCCCACGTACATATGTCTACACCAAGGTGAAACTCCTTGTACTAACTAGTTGCTCAATTTCCGTTGATAGCCTGTGTATTTGCTCCCACTTCTGTATTATGGTGAGGTCGCCTGATGTTGAGGTGTCTTCTACCTTCCCGACAGATCTTCGGCGCTCGAAGATTTGTCAGATGAGTCATACTCATCACTCCCGCTTGATCTTGTACTAAGGCTCTCGTAATCATCCTCACTTGTGTCGCCAGCATTTTTATTGGACACTCTGATGTTATCTGGATCTGGCATGATCTGTGTTTCAATATCAGAATCCCGGTTGAAGTCTCGCCCCTTGTAGGCGATCAATCTAGGAACTTGCCTCAATGCCGAGATCGCTTGCGGCTTGTCCTTGTACCTAATGTCATGCATCTTGCATAAGACCTTCAGGTTCGTGTAGTGAAGACGAAGGAGCTGCATGTCCGTCATCGGTTCGACCCTGAAATTAATGCTCAGTTTTGCCTTTCACTTCGTTGCCGACACTTTGCGATTAATCTTCGTTTGTCCTCTCTTGGGGTGTGGAGGGATTACGCGTCCCAATCTGCTTTTGTTCGGTGCGCTTCTGCTTGGCATGCTTCGGCTCGGAATGCTGCGGCTACCATGTACTGAAGTTGGTAGTCCAGCCATTATCCCCACATATCTGTTCGGATGAACCGAAGACGACACGATCGGAGTGCAGGTACGAATCGGTTCATTGATCTTCTGCAACGCGCCCTTCACAACCGCTTGATCAAACTTTAGTAGCTTTAGGTTGTTGACCTCCTTCTGCACTTCCGATACCATTCTTTCTACTTTATCTTCTACCTCTGCATTCTTTTGACCGGTTGCGCTTGGACCAGCTTGATTTTGTCCCCCTTGGTTCATCTCTGTCGGATTCAGTGCTTCATCAATGATGGACTTGAGCGTGTCCGGAGTTAGCTCCGGCTTCTTTGCGGTGTCTTTCTTATTCGGAGGAGCTGGCTGCTTTTCACTTATCTTTCGTATGAGTTGCTCCAGTGTCTTGAGAACTTTGTCTATCTCCCGGCGGAGCTTAAATATTTATTCCCTTAGATCCGCCGTAAACCACGCTCGATTTCCCGGTGGGGGGAAATCATTCCGTTTTTGCTCCCACAATGGTCTCGAGAACCACCTTGGAGATTCTGACTCCGCCCTTCTTCTCCGTGACGATGGTGATCTTGACTTATGTCTTCTATCTCTCAGAGTTTTCGATCTCCCCCTTCTTGAGCGCTTCCTCCCTTGAGATCTGGAAGATGATGATGAGTGTATGCGCCGCCTCCTGTCCGACGATGATCGCGAACGCGGCATCTTCCTTGAAGCTTGGTAATGTCAGGTAGGTAGTCTTCGTACTTGAAATCGGTACAAAACCCCACAGCATCGTTGATCGTCTTCAGTACACACTTGATAAGTAAAATAAAATCTCCAAAAATCGTTGAGTAATCTCCACGCTATATTAATCTCCAACAAATCGCCACTATGATATTATGGAAGAAAAGGGTTACGAATTCTGAGAGAGAGATAAAGACAGTGAATGTAAAATGGAAGAGTGGCAGGTCTATACAGTGCCAATCATCGCGGGTTCCGCCCGCAAGTTCTAAGCAGCGTGCATAGAGATAAACACATGCAAATGTAGACAAAACGTTCGAGGTTTTACTTTCACAGCATACACATGCAAGTGTAGACAGAACGTGCGAGGTTTTACTTTCACAGCATACACGTAATGTCCATGGCATGCGACACCAGTCACGATTACCTTTCTACCTCACTGCTCAGGTAATCATTTCAACCACTATCCTCAATATTTATACCCTTCGTTCCCAATCATTNCGACACCAGTCACGATTACCTTTCTACCTCACTGCTCAGGTAATCATTTCAACCACTATCCTCAATATTTATACCCTTCGTTCCCAATCATTTTCCGCCACTTTCCCTATCGTTGCATTGTACTCATCATCTATCCTCAGAATCTCCCGCAGTCGCTCTCTGTGTTGTCCTTGTCGTCGTCGATTTCCAACATGCCTTCAATCTGGAGCTACTTTCATCATATCTAATGATTTTGTGCATGCTACTCATGTAATCTCCTCTCTGTCGGAGTTCCGTCTTACTATGGTACTTGCCTATAACTCCGATGTTTTTTTATACTGACTCGAATCTGACCTTGTTTGTTGTTCTGTTCTTGTTTACTTTCATGGACGTGGATTTTCCTTCATTTTCAGGTGAGTACTTTTTCTTTATTGGTTCGTTTCCACTGCTTTAGGTCTTTCATCTTCTATCTGTTTCGTATGTTTGAAAATGTGAGCGACACTGTTACGTCGTTATATCTGCAGAAATTTTGTGATATTCCGGAGTACTTAGTCGCGTATGTTGCTTTTTTGTTTTGAAAATTTATTTTCATTCCGTGCAAAATTATATTTTTGATTTTTGATTTTTCGATTTGTGATTTTAGCTTTATATTCCGAGTCGTGTGAATTTATTGACGTATTTTATT